ATTGATATACCTTTGATTATTTCGATTTTTTATTTGCTGTTACTTATACTTCATAACGTTTGCTTTTCTCTTATTGGATTTGATGTCTTACGCGAGCAACACGCTATTAATTTTCCTTTGTCCACATTTTTAATAATTTTTTTACTAAGTTAATCAAAAATCGCATCAAGGGCATGAAATCAGCCTATTTTCCAAGCTCAAACGTTAGAATATCTAAGGGAGCTTTCCATTTATCAAAACTGACTGGCCAATGACAAATATACAAATAGTGGATGTTACATGGGTGCAAGGAGATGCAGATTTTATTTTTGGGTGTTGATAAGTCGATAACGAGCAGGATTATAGCCGACGGGGTCTGTTCTTCTAAATAACTGTTCTTGTAAAAAAATTCCATGGAAAGGAATTTTGAACTACAGTTGTTGACAATCTCTGGCGCCTTTCCTAATTTAAAATACTTTTGTTCCTGGCAAACGTTTTTATGGTCAAAAACGGCTTATATGTTTTAGTTAGGAATTTTTTATTTTCCTGGCAAAAATTCTTAGAAAGTATCCATTGCCTGGAGAGTTCATTTTTCTTGAATTAACTTTTTATTACGGCGTACATGACTCTTGAGTTCCTCGGTCGTGTTACGAACAGATGTGGCGAAGCGATTTCCCGAAGCTGACGTCATGATCTGTGACGACGACATTCAGCACGCGTTTGTATTAGATGCATCAAAGACAGAAAAACTGGCGCGAAAAGTTTGGGGATGGATTGAGAAAGAATTCACAATGGTGTAATTCAGTCTGAAATTTTGTTCGAGGAACTCCCTACCTCACTTATACAATGAGGGCGGTCGATATTGAATGCTAGATATTGAACGAGATATTTGCAAAATAAGATGGTTGTGAAAAAAAAATATATTTGTATTGAATCAATGAATAACAACTGATATTGCATGATGAAGCATATCTATTTTGGTCCGTCCTTAACAATGAGATTTTCGATTCAGTTTAATTTTGTATATTAATAAAAGTAAGCTGTTTACTCGGGATTTTACATAAGTTATTACTATATACCTCTTTCAACCTTGAGTCTGACAAAAAGGCAGACTTGTGCATGACGTTGTTCTTGACTACTGTTATCACACAGCCCCAGCCCCAGCCCCAGTCCCCATTTCGAAAATTACGCACAAGCTTGTGCAATAGACCTAATCGGCTAACGATGTTCCTATGTATGTTGCCACCCAATTCAAATCCTGTGGGAAAAATAACTTTTGTTTCTAAGAATTCAACTGTGAAATGAAAATACAACGAACAATGAAACTTATTCCCGGGTGGTTTGAATTGGGTTGAAGCCGATTAAGTCTGTTACACGATGGTCACAACAAATTCATCATCCTTTTGTTATTCATCTTCTATTTGATATGACACCTTCACAAACAGTATATTAAATGTAATATAACGCGGCTTGCGACAAATGGAACCAACACAAAATATTAATAAAAACTAAGATAAATAAGCTTACAAAACAAATAAGGTTGGTTATTAGAATTAGATCATCAATCAATAATTAAGTGTAAGTGTTTACCGTTATTATTTGACTCTTATTAACTAAAAACATCTATTAATGTAAGAGTAAAAATGTGCACAAAATCTAAGATCTAAAGGGTATTTTGGGAACTGGAAAATTTGTGTCATACTTGTGACAGTTGTGAAAACCAAATCATAAAATAATGTCGTCAGGTCCCAAATTTTTTCTCGAGTTTTCTGACACACGTATTTCCAAGAAACTTCTACAGCAATTGCATAGCACTTCGCGTGTCATCTCGAATCACGCAACGACAGAATTAAACAGAATTTGCTCTCAATATAAGTTTAATGCTGTCACACGGTATTGTGTTTTCTCACAGTTTTTTATTAGAATTTAGAGGATGATTGATATACCTTTGATTATTTCGATTTTTTATTTGCTGTTACTTATACTTCATAACGTTTGCTTTTCTCTTATTGGATTTGATGTCTTACGCGAGTAACACGTTATTAATTTTCCTTTGTCCACATTTTTAATAATTTTTTTACTAAGTTAATCAAAAATCGCATCAAGGGCATGAAATCAGCCTATTTTCCAAGCTCAAACGTTAGAATATCTAAGGGAGCTTTCCATTTATCAAAACTGACTGGCCAATGACAAATATACAAATAGTGGATGTTACATTGCATGGGTGCAAGGAGATGCAGATTTTATTTTTGGGTGTTGATGAGTCGATAACGAGCAGGATTAGCCAACGGGGTCTGTTTGAAATTTTTATTTTCCTGGCAAAAATTCTTAGAAAGTATTCCTTGCCTGGAGAATTCTTTTTTCCTTAATCAACTTTTTATTACGGCGCACATGACGCTTTGGTTTAATTTATTAATGAGAATGATTTTCCCGCGAGTGGTCTATCACAAATAAGAGCATTAGTAGAGTAGCCAATCACAGCGCAGTATGAGTGATAGACCAT